GATCATCACCAAGAGGGGGATTGACTACATCCTCCGTCATATACCCGCCCTGCTCCACGAGCACCAGGGCCTGAGCCTCAAGGAGGCCATGCTGCACTTCATCCAGGAGGCCTGCCAGCTGGAGGACATGCCCATGCACTTCTTCAGGCTGTACAAGGTTGAGTGCAGGGCGGCCAGTGACGGGGCTGGACTCTGACTCCAGGCCAGGGATGGATGGAACCCCAGAAGCTGACAGTGGGATCAGAACCCCAGACCAGGGATGGACGGAGCCCCCATGGCTAACAGTGGGAACCAGGACCCCAGTGCAGGTGTGGCCAGAGTCTCCCAAGCTGACAGTGTCACCAGGACCCCAGGGCCGGCTTGGAAGGGCTCTCTTAGGTCATGGCTGATGTTTGTTTAGCCTGATGAAAGGCATGCTTGTGCTGACAGGGTGTTTTGGTCTGATACTGGAGTGAATCAGACTCGAAATGGGCCTGAGCTCAGCCTGCTCCACGGAGGCCTTGGCCCCTGGCCAGACTGAGCACACTCCACCATCAGTGAGACCCAGCACCCCCAGGCCCGGGCCTTGACCTCTGACCTGTGTCCTCTAGGATAAGGAGGAAGCTTGCCCCACCGTGATCCTGGGACTTATCCTCAGGGGAGTGCACATCTACCAGGTGACGGGAGGGGCTCCAGCCTCACAGAGCCCCTGCTCCTGCCCCCACCACTTCTCCCTTCCCCATGGGGAGCTGGGCTGTGTAGCCTCCCTGTAGCGATCACGGGCACTGGCTGGCCCTGCCTGGACGCCCGGCCCCTGCTGTCCTGCAGGAGGTGATCCAAGCTTCACAGCTGCTGTACGACTTCCCCTGGCCCCATGTCGGGAAGCTGGCATTTCTTGTAGGTGTCTGGGGGGGGGTCGGTCTCCATGCCCTGGAGAGTGTGGGCCATGCAGCTTCGTCTTCAGGGCATTTCCTGGGCATTTTATCCCCACGAGGTGCAAGTTGCTTCCTGCCAGCCTCTCAGTGCCACGAGACCCCACCTCTTCGGGCCATCAGGCTGGCCTGGTCCCACGGGCTCTGCGTCTGGCCCAGCCCTGAAGGCATGGGGTGTTTAGCTGCCAGCTGAGGTCTAGTTGTTATTGCTGGAAAACTGGCTCCCAACTGAGAAAACCAAGGGAGAGAAAATAAGAGCAGGTCATAGAAACGCACCTGCATGGCCTCTGTTCCTCTCGTTCCGACCCCAGAGCTGTCACCAGGGCCACCCGAAGCCCGGGTGACAGGGATGAAAGGGCAGTGACTGTGGGGGCCGCTGGGCAGCAGGCTTGCCCTGGACATCCAGACCCAGGTCTTCTCGTCCCACTCTGGAGCCCCACCCCCCTCACACAGCTGCGGCCACTTCCTTGCCAGGAGGGCCGCGTCCTTCCCAGCAAGGGCAGGGCCGAGCTTGCCCTGAGCAAGGCAACGTGAAAACCTCGGCCTCGTCCCCCTGGGGGCCATGGCTGACATTGAACATCGTCCTTTCCTGTTGCTAGCGTGGTTTTCAACCTTTGGAGTGGCACCTCTCCTGTGTTCAGGGGAAGAAGCTGGAGATCTGGCCGGATGGGCTGCCCGCGGCGCGGAAGCTGGTTTACTACACGGGCTGCACCTGGTGCTCGCGGCCCCTGCTGCGCCTGCTACCACCAGCCACCAGCTCCAGCTCCGCATGCGGCCCGCGCTGCACGTGCTGCTGCAGTGGCGGGTGGAGACGGAAGGTGGGGCGGCGTGGGGCGCTGGGCTCCAGGCCGGGCTGTGCATTCTGTCTCCCCTGCGCTGTGTGAGGCCTCCTGGCTCCCGCGCCCTCCAGATGCTCAGGTCAAAGGGCGGGTGGTGCCCCCAGCCCTACCCAGAGTGACATTGTGTAGACGGGGTCGGGGAGGAGGGCGGCTCTCGGAGTCACCTGAGGTTCCACTGCTTCTCCCACCGTGTGCCCACAAAAAGCAAGAAGTGCAGGTTCCAACAAGGCCTGGCTCAGCGTTTACCCACAGGCCCGGTCTCTCTCCCCGTTCCAGGTCCTCACCCAGCCCTGAGCGTACCCAGCCCTGAGCCTGCCTTTCTGCCTCCTGGGCTCTTCCTCCTGCATCAGCGGGGATGGTCCCTCTCCAGCTGCCCTCACTGCGCTCCCCGCTCCCTGCAGAGAAGCAGCACTACCGGGAGTCATACGTCAGTGATGGGCTGGAGCTGGACCTGGACCCATCCAGCAGGGGCTCCCCGGGCAGCGGGGGCAGCAGGGACAGCGGGGACAGCAGCCAGCACTGCCCCCACCACCTCTCACTCCACTCTGCCAACAGCCACGGCAGCTCCCACACATCAGGCATCGAGGCAGACTCCCGGCTCAGGTTTTCAATCCAGAGAGATGCTTGTGGACCTGCCCTCAGGGGTCCAGCGGCTCCAGGAGAAGGCGCCGTCCTCCGGCCCCAGGACCAGAGGCAGCCGCCCCGGCACACATGATGACAGCCAAGGTGGTCGCAAGGGGGATGCCCAGGCCCAAGGGCAGTGAGTGCGGCCCAGCAGCCTGACTTGGCTGACCCTGGACCTTGGGCACCCAGCAGCAAAGCCCTGACCTGCCCACTAGGGGCCAGACCGTGAGGGGCGGGGCTGCCTGTGACCTGCATCCTGAAAAACGTGCCAGAACCTGCCGGGAAGAACAGAGGAGGCAGGGAGGAGCTGCCTGCAGCCTGCCATACCCAAGTCCCTTGTCCCCAGCAAAGGGGCAGCCACAGGCTGGGAGAGACACAGGAGCAGTGGGTCCTCTGGGTGCAGATGAGCCCAGGTCCTCAAGCTTTCTTGGAAGCCCATCTCAGATCTCCTCCCATTCCTAGGAAGCTGCTGACTCCTAG